CCTCCGGACGACTGGTCAAGGAGTCGGTCACATCATCAGGTTCTTTTCAGTCTGACACCTGCAAGATTCCCCATAGCTCGGGTAAATCCAATCTTCTCTATGTTGGCGTGCGAATCTTGCTCTTCCCGGGCGGATCTGATGGAACTAATCTCTGACAAAGATTCTCGTCATCCGTCCAATCCGGCTCAGTTATGTCAGTCTCCTCCGTGATTATCGCCTAGATATTCGCCTTTCCTGGGCTATATAAAGACCCTTCACAGTTGATGCCAATCGCAACACTCTTCATTTTGCGAAAGCACGGCGCTATGAGTTACAGGGATGGTGATCGCCGCTGGTCCGTTCGCAACAAGGAGCATGCTCGACTGGAGCAGTTGAGGCAGGCTAACGGAGGTCGTCTGGTGGGCGACTCGGCTTCAGACCCCATCGTGGTGCCTCCAGACATGCTGGACCTGATGTGTAGGGAGCCTATCGATGTGGAGATGGAGCCTGTGGTGGAGGATCCCGGACCAGAGGTCGGAAATCCTGCTCCCGAGGAGGAAGAGGTATGGGAGGTTCCTCCGCTTTTCGGCGTTGCCATGTCGCCGAGTGCTCTGGAGAGGCCTCTGCAAATGATTGACGATGGGAAGCCGGCCGTGTATCTGGACGAGATGCCAGAGCCCGAGCCGAGTCCTCTACCATTCCGCCCCCAGTACTTTCTAGAGGGTCCTCCGGCTGCCCGCTCGTCGACAGAGAAGGAAGCCAAGCCATGACTCTGTTTTCTCTTGTAGTTTGCACCGGCCGAGTTCTGGGCCTTGTAATCTTCGTACTAATTAAATAAACTGTGTGTTTTTCTATCCGACCCCGCAATTTCTTATTATTTTGTCGCCCGACCTCGGATCTATGAGACCGACACCTAGCCTTGTTATGGAGAGGTTCTCCCGCTGGGGAGTCGCCGAGTCCGATCGCCGACCTTGCAAGCGGAATCTCTTTGTGAGCTCGTCCGGTGTCATTTGACGAGCCGGGCTCTATCGGGTAGCTTCTAGAAGCTTCCCGTTCGTATTTCGTGGGCCCGGAGGCCATAGCCCACTACGTTCTTCCAGCTTAGCAGGCCGGGTCACGTGACGTTCGACCCTAGCCTAGGGCAAACGCGCCGTCTGTGGGCTAACCCTAGACCTGAACCGTCGCCCCGCCTTTTGAGGCATTAAATGCGGCGTCCCTTCACGTCTCGTCACCTCCAGCTCCTCCAACGAGAAGGTGGCACGTGGCCGCCCTTTGAAATTCCTACCCTTCAAATAGCCACTTCGTCTCTCTTTCCACTCTCTTCTCCAGTCTTCCTTTTCAGCTTCAACTTCGAGCTTCTCCGGCCACTCTGTTCCTCCTCCGATTTCCTTCTTGACTTAGGTAATGTCTTCTTCCTCACGTTCTTCTTCTTCCCGTCGTTACTCGGTTGATAACACCGAGGCGACCTCTCCCTCTTCTTCTTCTCCTTCTTCGTCTTCCTCTTCTCCTCCTCGTCGCATGGAACTCCCAGCGGATGTTCCATCGACGTCTCCCCTCCGTCGTATGGAACTTCCCTCGGACGTTCCATCGACATCTTCTCTTCCTCCGACCCCCTCTTCTTCGGGGGCGGTTACTCCGCTGAGCCCCGCTCCTTTAACGACGGTGGCGGCTCTGCCGGGTGGCGTTGTACGGCCGCGGGGCAAGTTTGATCCAATAGTCCGTCCCTCTGGGCCGCCGTCCGTCGTTACTGCGGCGGATCTAGAAATGGCCCAGTACCTTCTTGGGCCCTCGGTCGTAATCCTTGCCCCGGAGGGCCGGCAAATTTACGACCCACCCGAGGGTTGTGTCGGTATTCACCTACACTCGGTTGCCTTTGGCTTCCGAGTTCCTCCATGTCCTTTTCTCTCCCTTTTTTACCGCCATTATAACTTGGTTCCGGGCCAACTAGTGCCCAATTCTCACCGACTCCTTACTTGCTTCACCAATCTCTGCCACTGGTGGTTGTGCGAGCCGGACCTCGACCTGTTCCGGTATCTTTTTACCGTAAACAAGGTTGGCTCGCACTCGCCGGGCTTCGTTCAAGTCGCCGCTCGCCCGGGGCGGTAGCTTTTCGAGGGGCTGTCCGATTCCATTAAGGATTGGAAGCTCCTCTATTTCTTTGTCCGCCCTGCCCTTTCTTCCTTTACTTTTCCGACCCTGTGGCCGGCCGCTCTATTCAAGCCTTGCTCTCGACGTGCCGTTCCCTCCGATGATGCGGTCCTGGGCGGCGAGTTCTTGAAGGGCTTCGGGCCGTACCCCGTCAAGTACTGGTCCCGAGTCCGGGCCATGGCTAAGCGTGGCTTGCTACCGGAGGGTGCGGCCACCGTAGGTAGTCCTCGTTACCCCTCATTCTTCTTCTTTTCCTGTCTTGCCATATTCCGACTCGAAACACCTCATGGTTTCTCTTTCCTTTTTACAGGTCCATACGACTCCGACTCCTCCAGCTCCGACGAGGCGGTTGAACCGACTCCCGAGATGGCGGATAGAGCCGAAAAGATGAGGCGTCGGCTGATCCAACGCACTTCTGGTACTGCTGCTGCTTCTTCCTCACTACCGTCTCCGGCTCCCAGGCCGACTCCTCCTCCACCTCGGAACGTGGTGGATCTGACTCCGTCGCCAGTGGTGTCGCCCACTCGACAGCCACCTCATCCTCAGACAGAGAGTCCCGGCTCTAAGCGCCCGGCTGGTCAAACTGATGAGCCGGCTCCCAAAAGGATCCGGCTGTGCCATGAGGTAGAGGAAGATGCCCAGATCTGGATGGGCACCTCCTCCGTCCGTAAGTGGTGTGCTAACGTCCTTCTACCTAAGGACGTGGAGGCGACTCATGCTCTGGGGGACGGGTACATCCTCGAGGCCTCACTGCGCCAGTCGTACCGCGTAAGTGTTTCCCACTTGACCTTTCCCTTCGTCCTTTCCTTTCATTATCTGACTCGTGTTCGTCTCGCAGAACCTCACCTTCCAGATGGAGATGAGTAAGCGGCTGCAGAACTACAGGACCGACATGCGGTCTCTGGCCAACAAGCTGCATCAGACGGAGGAGGCCTTTTTGGAAGAGCAGGCGAAGCACCTCAAGGCGGTGGAGGTGCACAACTCCGAGATGCTAAGAGTTACCCGCCAGTGGGAGGAAGAGCGAGACAAGGTGGCGACGATTGCTGCGACCTCTGTTGAGGAGTACAAGAAGTCGGCTGCCTTCGAGGCGGAAGTGAAGGCGGCGATAGAGGCTCGCCAAAAAGAGATTGCTAAGGAGTGGCTGTCGACGCCGGATGGTGACGAGTTCCTCCTAGACTTGGGCGAGCGCGACTATCGCCTCAGCTTTCGCGAGGCGCAGACAGAGATCCATTCTGCCTTGCTGGTCCGCGACTCCTCTTTCACTCCCGAGAGCTGGGGCCTCAAGCCCGTGATAGATGCTTTTCCGGCGACTGAAGGACAGTCGGCGACTGGGGACCTGGCAGCTCTTCCGGCAACCTCTGATCCGGCGACTCTTCCTTCAGCAACACCTCCTGAGCTCGCCGATTCCTCTCTTCAGGCCGAGGACCCTTCTTCTGTTCCCCTGACTGGACCAACGGCAGGGGCCCAAGTCGAAGGGATTGATGTCGACACCCCTCCCCAGTAGTTTAGGGCTATTCTGTTTGGGATAGCCCCCTTTTGTAAAGGCTGGCCTCCTTTTCGGGCCTCATTTAATGAAATTCCCCTTTTCTCTTCCTTTTCGTATTATCTTGAGCTCGACGCTTTTTCCTTTAACCTAGTCTCTTTTAACTGCTCACCGAGTCCTTCTGTCGAGGCGACTCTTCAAGGCTTTTCCACAGGAACGATTAAGGGTCCAGGCCCTTGTTTCCTGTCTTTTCTTGCCGAGTCCCTCGGTCAAGGCGACCCATTAGGCTTTTTCTATCTCAGAAACAGTTTAGGGTCAGTGCCCCGTCGTTTCTCTCAATACTCGCCGAGTCCCTCAGTCGAGGCGACTCCTGTAGGCTTTTTCTCGGAAACGTCTAAGGGTCTGGGCCCTTGTTTCCTATCTTTTCTTGCCGAGTCCCTCAGTCAAGGCGACCCATTAGGCTTTTTCTATCTCAGAAACAGTTTAGGGTCAGTGCCCCGTCGTTTCTCTCAATACTCGCCGAGTCCCTCAGTCGAGGCGACTCCTGTAGGCTTTTTCTCGGAAACGTCTAAGGGTCTGGGCCCTTGTTTCCTATCTTTTCTTGCCGAGTCCCTCGGTCAAGGCGACCCATTAGGCTTTTTCTATCTCAGAAACAGTTTAGGGTCAGTGCCCCGTCATTTCTCTCAATACTCGCCGAGTCCCTCAGTCGAGGCGACTCCTGTAGGCTTTTTCTCGGAAACGTCTAAGGGTCTGGGCCCTTGTTTCCTATCTTTTCTTGCCGAGTCCCTCGGTCGAGGCGACCCATTAGGCTTTTTCCATCTCAGAAACAGTTTAGGGTCAGTGCCCCGTCGTTTCTCTCAATACTCGCCGAGTCCCTCAGTCGAGGCGACTCCTGTAGGCTTTTTCTCAGAAACGTCTAAGGGTCTGGGCCCTTGTTTCCTATCTTTTCTTGCCGAGTCCCTCGGTCAAGGCGACCCATTAGGCTTTTTCTATCTCAGAAACAGTTTAGGGTCAGTGCCCCGTCGTTTCTCTCAATACTTGCCGAGTCCCTCAGTCGAGGCGACTCCTGTAGGCTTTTTCTCGGAAACGTCTAAGGGTCTGGGCCCTTGTTTCCTCTCTTTTCTTGCCAAGTCCCTCGGTCGAGGCGACCCATTAGGCTTTTTCTATCTCAGAAATAGTTTAGGGTCAGTGCCCCGTCGTTTCTCTCAATACTCGCCGAGTCCCTCAGTCGAGGTAACTCCTGTAGGCTTTTTCTCGGAAACGTCTAAGGGTCTGGGCCCTTGTTTCCTATCTTTTCTTGCCGAGTCCCTCGATCAAGGCGATTAGCGGTAACCCATGTGCTTTATTTAGATTTTTGGAATCCTCGAGCCCGTACACGGCCTATCCTTTTCTACTGATAGAACCTTTTCAAATGAGTGACATTCCATATGCGATCTCTGGGCTTGCCTTCCATAGTCTCCAACTTATAGGTTCCGGCTTGGACCACCGCTGCAATACGGTATGGCCCCTCCCACTTAGCCGCAAACTTGCCCCCTTCGGTGGGCTGACTGGCCTGTCGATTGCGTAACACGAGGTCGCCAACCTGGAAGGTTCGCGGGCGAGTCCTCCGGTCACGATATCTTTTCACTGCCTGCTGGTACTCAACCATCCGTGCACTCGCGGCTTCTCTCCTTTCTTCTAGGAAATTTTTCTCGATCCGCAGATTCTCTTCGTTCGCTGCATCCGAGTAGGTGCGAACCCGGTGAGTGGGCTCGACTACTTCGACTGGAACCTTGGCCTCGAAGCCGTATGCGAGCGAGAACGGGCTCTCCCCCGTCGCTCGCCGCTGGGTAGTGCGATAAGCCCATAGGACTCGGTCAAGCTCGTCCGCCCAACTTCCTCGGATGTCTTCGAGCTTCTTCCGGATCCCATCGACCAACGTTCGATTCACATTCTCGACCTGCCCATTGGCTTGTGGGTACGCCACCGATACCTTGGTATGCTTGATATCGTGTCGGCGGCAGAAGTCGGCGAAGGCCTGGCAGTCAAACTGTCGCCCGTTGTCGCTGACGATGTGCTCGGGCAGGCCGAAGCGACATATCACCCTTTTCCACAGAAAACGTCGACATTGGTACTCAGTAATGGTAGCCAATGGTTCTGCCTCGACCCATTTGGTGAAATAGTCGATAGCCACAACGCAAAACTTCAGACCTCCCGGGGCGACGGGCAATGGCCCCAACAAGTCTATTCCCCACTTGGCGAAGGGGATGGCAGTGGTGACCGGTGTATAAAAGGTGACCGGCCGGGTGTCTTTCCTGGCGAATGCTTGACAAACGCCGCACCTGGACATCCATTCGATGCAGTCTCGCATCATGGTCGGCCAATAATACCCTTAAACGACTAACTTCCGGGCGAGCGTGTGGGCACCCTGGTGCGCGGCACAAATGCCTCTATGAGCTTCGTCCATTATTTTCTCGGCCTCGGGTCTAAGCAGGCACTTTAGTAAGGGTCCTCCGAACGACTGTTTGTATAGCTGTCCGTCGATGATCTGGAAGGAAGGGGCTTTCCGCCGAACTCTCGCGGCGACTCCCGGGTCTTCCGGTAACTCGCCTTTTTCTATGAATCGCCGGATGTCCTCTATCCAGAACATTTCGGGATTTTTCCCTCGATCCCATTCCTCGATATCTACTCGCTGGACTTCCAGTGGTGCCTCTTCAACACTCGGCCGATTTAGCTCCTCCTCCTGGCAAATTTTTATCAGGTGGTCCGGTACCCCTTCCAGGGCAATTTTGGACAATAGGTCGGCTTCCATGTTGTCCACTCGGGGTATGTACTCTATCTCGTAAGCCCCGAACCCTTTTAACATCTCGACCGCACGCTCTTTGTATAGTACCATCCTTGCATTCTTAGTTTCGCACGTACCCGAGATCTGTCCGACTACCAGTCTGGAGTCAGTCTTGATTCGCAGCCGCTCGACTCCCAGGGCCTTAGCGAGTCGGAGACCGTTTAATACCGCTTCGTATTCGGCCTCATTATTTGATGTCGAGAACAAGTATCTCAGAGCGTAATATAGTCGGAATCCTTCCGGAGTGACGAGCATGACACCGCCTCCACAGTGCTGTCGACTCGATGCTCCGTCCGCGTGCATTTCCCACCACTCGCCTGGGCAGCTCTCCGAGGCGTGTTCCTTTTCTTCCTCAATTGCCGTGCATTCGACCAGGAAGTCGGCCAAGGCTTGACCCTTAATGGAAGGCCGGGGTTGGTACTCAATCCCATACTGAGTCAACTCTACGGCCCATTTTACAAGTCGACCGGAGGACAAGGGGTTTCTTAGCACGCTTCCGAGCGGCTGGTCTGTCAAAACTCGAACGGTATGGGCTTGGAAATAGGGTGCCAGCTTGCGCACGGTGACTACCAACGCATACACAACCTTTTCCAGAACGGTGTACCGCGTCTCAGCGGCCTTCGACGAGCGACTTACGTAATAAACCGGGTGCTGGACTCGGTCCTCCTCTCGGACCAACACCGAACTCACTGCTTTGGCTGAGGCGGCGAGGTACAAGAATAAGGGCTCGCCCACCTGGGGGGTAGACAGCACTGGGGGCGTTGAGAGGTACTGTTTCAACTCCTCGAACGATTGTTGGCATTCGGCAGTCCAAGCGAATCCCTCCTTCTTCTTCATGGCTTCGAAGAAAGACACGGTCTTATCCGCCGCTTTGCTCAAGAAGCGGCTAAGGGCGGCCAATCGGCCAGTCAACCGTTGTAGGTCCCTGACGGTTGTAGGAGGCTGCATGTCGATGATGGCCTGTACCTTCTCCGGATTAGGCTCGATGCCTCGTTTGGTGACCATGTAGCCCAAGAATTTGCCACCTTGGACGGCGAACGCGCACTTTTTGGGGTTCAGCCGAAGGTTGTATTTCATCATTACCTTGAAGCAGTCGGCCAGGTCCTTCGCATGCTTGTCCTCTTCCAGGCTCTTGACGAGCATATCGTCGACATACGCAGCCATCGATTTCCCAAGCAGGTGTTGGAACAACCGGGCGACCATTCGGGTGTACGTAGCCCCGGCATTTTTAAGTCCGAAGGGCATGACTCGGTAATAGTAAACTCCGTCCGGTGTCAGGAAGGCGGTCTTCTCCTCATCCGCCGGGTGCATAAATATTTGGTGGTACCCTCTGAAGGCGTCCATGAAACTCAATAGCGCCGACCCGGCCGTTTCGTCGACTAACTGGTCGATCCGAGGTAGGGGAAACGGGTCTTTCGGACAAGCCTTATTAAGATCGGAGTAATCCACGCACATTCGCCACGTCGGGGGCTTGGGTACGAGGACCACATTTGCCAACCACTCCGGGTACTTAACCTCGCGGACGTGCCCGGCCGCTAGTAGCGTGCCAACTTCCTTCTTCACAAATTCCCTCCGGTCGTTGGCCAGGTATCGTTTCTTCTGTACGACCGGTCGGTGCTCCGGATCCACGGCGAGTCTGTGCGATATGATTGATCGGTCGACACCAGGCATGTCCTCGGGGCCCCAGGCGAAAACCGTCCGGTGCTCTCGGAGCACCTTTACAATTTCTTTTTTCAATGTCTCAGAGAGGCCGACTCCAATTCGGACCCGTCGGTCCGGTTGCGTAGAGTCGATCTCGACTTCCTCCAACTGGACAGCAGGCTCTGGGCGAGGTAGTATCGTCTTCTTCGGGGGCCTCTCAGTGATCTCATGGATCTGCATCTCGCGTTTGCCCATCCCTCTGCATGCCTGCAGAAAGCAGTCGCGGGCGACCTTTCGGTCACAGCGCACCGTACCTACTCCATTTGGTGTGCGGAATTTCAGGCAGAGATGCTCAATTGAGATCAAAGCCCCTAAATCCTCAAGACCCGGTCGGCCGAGTATAGCGTTATGCGAGCAGGCCAGGTTTACCACAATAAATTTCATGCTGAGTCTTTGTACGTCCGGGTACGTGCCAATCTCAACTGGAAGTGTGATTGACCCCTCCGCCTCCACCGAGTCCCCTGTGAAGCCGGCGAGGGGAGTTTTGACGGGGTTCAGCTGTTCTCGAGTCAGCCCCATTTTGGTGAAGGTTTCTAGATATAGCACGTTGACGCTGCTCCCGGTGTCCACCAGGATTCGCCGAACGACGATGCCGTTGACATCCATGGCTATAACCAACGCATCTCGATGCGGTATTTCTCCGGCTGGTAAGTCTCTGTCGGTGAACACGATGGGCCTCTCGACACACCTTTTTGAGTTCTCCTCACGCCCGTACACTGTCCCGACGTACAACTGCCGGGCCCAAAGCTTTTCTGGTGTTCGCTGAATCACCACCTTCCAGCCCGCCGACTATCATGTTGATAACCGGTTTCTGGCGCCATTGAGCCTCCTCCTCTTCGGGAACCGGCTGCTTGCCTCGACTGCTTTCGGCAACGGCGACGGGTTCCTCATCCCTTCGACTGCCCGGCCTCCGCCTCCATTGGTTAGGAGGCGGGTCCTTGCTGGATGATACCCTCCATGATCTTCTTCAGGTAGAAGCACTCCTCCGTACTGTGAGTATACAGATTTATGATAACGACAATACTTAGAGTTCTTATCCACCTCTTCGTTTGTCGCGCGATCGTCAGTCGGCGGAGGCGGAGGCGGGGCAACCGCTTGTACCTCGTGGACCGGACGCTCGGGAATCGCCGTAAGCGTGGACCACTGGTCGGTCGTACGGCCTTCTAACTTCGGGTCGCCGAGCCACGTCCGGGCGCCTTTCTTTGGCTTCCGCTCGCGTCCTCTTTCCGCTGGCGGATCCGCCGACTTCGCGCTGTCGCTTGTACTTCATAGCCTGCTCCGTATTGGCCCCTCTTGTTGGCCATATGAATGGCTTCTGCGTAGGTGGCCGGACGATTGTCCCTCAAGTCTCGGTACAGCTGGCCGGACCGCACGACTCGATGAAGAAGGTGAGCGCTGTCTGATCCTCGACCTCCTCTATGGACTGGATTTCTCTCTGCCAGCGGGCCAAATAGGTTTTCAAAAGATTCGCCTTCGTCTTGACGGATGTCACCCAAGTGAGTTAGGTCCTTTGTGGCTTGATATTAGCGGGCGTAATGGCTCATGAAGCGGTCTGCCAGCTCTTCAAAGTTGTGAATCGACCCTGAGGGCTGCGCCACCAGCCACCTTTGTGCTGACCCCTTCAACGTGGGTAAGAAAGCGCGACACATGAACCGGATCTCGTACCCCCAAAACCTACATCTTAGCCTGATAGCTCAGCAAATGCTCACGGGGATCGCCGGTTCCATCGAACGTGGCTTGCTCCGGGAACTTGAAGTCACTCGGTATCTTAAAAGTCATAACCTCGTCCGAGAAGGGTAAGGCGGTCAGCAACGTACGTCCTGGGACTTGGCTTTCCCCTCCATCCGTTCTTTCAGATTTCGCACCTCCTGTACTAAGTTTGCCACTTCGACCCTCTCCGGGTGCGATTTCCCGTGGATTCCGTGCTCTCGCCCGACTTCAGACTCAGCCGGTACGACGGGGTTGCGGGGGGTTGCTCCACGCGACGAGTCTCAGTCCTGGCTCTTTTGGTTCGGCTCTTCTCTCGTGCAGCTTGTCGATCGCGGGCGCTAGTGGGCACGACTGGGCTCCTTCCGGCCTAATCGTTCTCTTGCCGACCGACGCCCAACGCTGGGACCCAGCCGGGAATGAACGGATTGTACCGGTTGGCTTTCAGCCCGTCGGCTCAATTGCCGGTTGTCGGCCTCTGAGGCGGTTGCAACTCGCGTTGCGGCTGGCGGGTGACGGACTGTTCTCTCACTCCTAGGCTTGCTTCGGCGCAGGCGCGTCCGATTGCGCGTAACTGCTCCGGGGTGAGCAGCACCTGAGGCAATTGCCGTTTATCTGCGGCGTCGGCGGCGGTGTCGTCTCGTTTTCTTGGCTCCGAGCGCTTCTCCGATTCAGCTGGCTTCTCAGGTCGGCCTCCCGTCCGTTGTCATGACGGCTCGACTGTTCCTCGCTTCCTGCCATGTCTGGAGTTTTCCTAATTCGACTGAGGTTCTAACTGTCGTTCCTCGGACTCGCCTCACTCAAGAGGATACGTGACTCTTCGTTTCGATCCCCACAGACGGCGCCAGTGATGGTTTTAGGGTTTTCGGGCCCAAGGAGGTCCAACACAACCTTTGGTCGGTGGATACACCTCTCAATAAAATGTACGTCTAACTCAGAGGTAATGCTAGTGCTTCGGAATTTCTTTGTTATTTCCCCCCTCTCCCGGGTGTCCGAAAATGTCTACCTTTTACAAGAATGGAGGAGCCTTTATATAGTGGCTCCTCCTCTGCCGACTTGAAGGCCTTAATGGCCGACTTCAAGGCTAATCAAGATATGGAGCCGTTGGACGCCATTACTCGGTCGACCAACGCTCTCCTAGGCTTGTAACAGCCCGACCGGGTCCTGCCTTTAATGCTTCAACGGCTCTCTTTTAAAGGAACCCCTTTAATGCCCTCAACGGCTCCTCGAGCCGGGTCTTTTCCTGGGCTTGGGCCTCGGCCGACTCCTGGACTCGGCCCGATTGCTCTTTGGGCTCCTCTCGATGCTGGCCCACTTCTATTTTCTTTGGGCCCCTATCTCTTGG